CGGTGAGCACCCGACAAGATCCTACCTTTGGTGTTTTTTCTACCAGAGCTGACTAATTTCATTATTTTTGAAGCTGACGAGTTTTTACACTAGTTTAATAGATGATTTTTTTTAAAGAGAGGTGAATCTAATTTTATTTGTAGAATCGATCACAACTAATATAAAGGCCGGTACATGGGATATTTTATTTTTATTTATTTACTTGGATGTCCGAGCCTCCGGCCCACCTAGTATTAAGTGGTTGCCGGGACCCATAGACCATATACCATCAACAACGTAAATGCCGCCACTAACCTTGATAAATGTGTTTCAAGTCTCAGTTTAATAGTGCAACGGCTGTCCCATCCATTAAACCAAAACGCACTACTGCTTCACGGCAGACACAGGCCGGGTGGTGGTACCTACCCGTGAGGGCTCACAAGACATTCTACTCTAATATTAGAAATGAGGTGAAGACTCTTCCCTTAGACGAAACTTTATAATCAAATATAGAAAACACAATCTTACAAAAATCTATGAGTTGCTAACACTGGCCCTAGCAAAAGCAATGCTTCGCAGAATCTACCACCGGATGGGAATGGCGACCCACTGAGAAGATCCGGCGAGAAACTCAGTGGGTTCTATCTAAAGGCTAGTTCGCACGTCGAACTCTTCGTCGGAGTCGACAAGTTCGACGAGGACGGTGACCGGTGCTTGCTTATTAACTGGTGGTAGGACCTCTTGAGAGTCCGCGCGGGTAGGTACCACCGCCCTGCCAATTTCTGCCGTGAAGCAGTAATGCGTTCCGGTTTGAAGGGTGGGGCAGCCGTTGTAACTATACTGAGATCTTAGAACTTATATCTCAAGGTGTGTGGCGCATGTACGTTGTACATGTCTATGGGCTCCAGTAACCACTTAACACCAGGTGGGCTGTGAGCTCGTCCACCCATCTAAGCAATAAAAAATAAAAATAAAAGAGCCTAAAAGAGGGTGACGCCTAGATTTTTTTTCTCTGCCTAATCGCTGGTAGCCTAAAGGTAGCTGGTAGTATTATTTTTTTATTAAAATTTGTTCTTTGTTTAAATGAACGAAAAGAAAGTAGCAATTTTTTTGTTATTGCTAGTCAACATTTTAAAAAAATCGCTACTCATACAGAGGTGTAAAAGAACTGAATTGTTTTGTCTTTGCCTATTTAAATAATCACATTACAATGCTTTCAAAAAAAAAAAAACATTAGTCATCATATTTTTATCCCAATTTAAATTTTGCTTGTATGTCAGTCTGTAACGGTTCTCACACGCCCACTACAGTTCAGATATTCTATGAGTAGACATCTAACGGAGACGAACTTTCCAAATCGGAATTATTTCTTTTTGGGAGGCCAGCGAGCCTTTGGGAGAGAGAGAAGTGAGTGTTGAGATGACGGCTGATAGAAGAGAATGAAATAGAAAAATTCGTTGTGCCGACGCCACCTAGTGGGATAAGGTGGAGAAGAAGAAGAAGAAGCAAGCAAACGCACGCGATGGACATCAACAATCCAAGAAAAGTAAAAATCCCAACTCTTCAGTTATAAAAATACAAATGTGAGCTACTTAAATAAGAAGCAACAGTATTGATTAAATCGGTTATAGCTGGTGCTTTAAAACATAAAATGACATGAAAAACATTATTATCAAAAACGAATTTTACGGTTTAATCTCGCGTTTTTATTGTCATTATACTGTATCATTTTTGTTATTACATCATTATACAAAACCGAAGAAAATGCCAACATAAAAAAAATCACAATTAGTAATGCGTTTGGTATTGCACGCTGCGTGTTAATGCAATTTCAAATTAGCTGACGCGCGGAATCTCCGGTCTAATAGGAACATTTTGGTCATTCTTTCACGAAATTTTAACATACTTGTTATCCACGTTATGCTTAATTCAGGCAAAGCGTATTGTTTTTGCTGTTACGAGTAGTTTGACGGTTTTATTTTATCTTATTTCGACTTCAAGAATATTACAGAGTAAATAACTAACAGCACTATACATTATCTATATATTAATACGTGAAGCAAAAACTTTGTATCCCTTTTTACGTAAATTGCGCGGACGGAGTAGTATGAAATTTTCCACACTTATAAAGAATATAGAGAAGAAGTGGACAATGCTAATATTATTTTTTAATAATGCATAAAAGGTACATTAAATCAATAAAGAAAACATTACACACACTATATACCATGTATTTGACGCACACACGCATGCATACTATTTATTGTCTTGACAACTTTTGTTCTTGACGTTTGTGGTCAAATTGAGAATAGATTAAATATTGTTTGCCTTTATTAATATTTTTTTATAGTGTAGCCTTGGCGAAATTTGTGATTATAGAAGTATAAAATACAATCATGATAGTGTACAAACTTACAATTCCAATTAGTTATAGTCGAATTTCGACTACTGCGGGACCTCTAGTATATATTACCTATATTATATTACTTAGGTTTCTGTATTGAAATACATTGTACGAAGTACGAACTCACGAATTGATTGAATAGTTCATTTATAAGTATCTTTGTAATTTAATTTAGTACCTTTTTGTCTTTCGAAATTTCACTTAAAATACCCATGTCCCTTTGATCCTTAGGATCGGGAATTTTGAGAATTCGTTTCCGAAATCGGGTGCATTGACGACCAAATACGTATATTTCGAAATCAAAAATTACCTTCTGACGCTGAGCAGTAAATAGATGGCAGTTTCAAATATCCTTAGTTTTTTCTTTATCTCCTACGAGTTACACTTTTCTTTCTCTACTTATTTGCTGGTAGCCTGTGAGGCTATTCCAGTTACGTCCGGACGGGTAGGTCAGCTCACGGGCTCAACCTCAAAGAATTTGCTAACACTAGCCCTAGCAAGAGCGGTGAATCTACCACCGGATCGGAATCGCGACCCACTGAGAACATCCGGCGAGAAACTCAGTAGGCTAAAAGGTAAGAAATTCCAAAAAATCGATTTTTTTGGGCCAAGAATGATCGTGTCAGGGATTCCCGAAACACAGATATAACTGTAAAATAATTCTAAAGTCGGAAATAATAAAACGAAACTTAAATAAATTTATTCAAGAGTAAGCTATAATAGTAGTTTTAGTTAACAACAAGAATTATCTGTTGTGAGCTTTCCAAGAATTAAAATATATTCCTGTTTACGTAAATAAATATTATTTACTAAATCAAATACCAAATTACTAGTGGTAGGACCTCTTGTGAGTCCGCGCGGGTAGGTACCACCACCTATTTCTGCCGTGAAGCAATAATGCGTTTCGGTTTGAAGGGTGTGGCAGCCGTTGTAACTATACTTGAGGCCTTAGAACTTATATCTCAAGGTCGGTGGCGTATTTACGTTGTAGTCTATGGGCTCCAGTAATCACTTAACACCAGGTAGGCTGTGAGTTCGTCCACCCATCTAAGCAAAAAAAATTATAATAATGGAAAACAGTGACATAGTTTAATGTGAATAACTTTTCACGATTTTTTTTTTAAATTGCATTAATTTGACAGGCGATGTTTTATGCCAATTGGTATTAACTGGTTACAGCAGCTCATAGACGTTACAAATGGAATCCGGTCGCACACTTCCAGACATGCGTCTAAGGAATCCTGACGGCAGAAATAAGTAGAGTGCTTGTAACTTTCCATGCGCACAAAAAGTTCTACCACCAATAAAAACTAAAAGTCGTACTCATCGTCTAAGTATGGGAGGGGTATTCACGAACGCCCACGATTGGTGCTATGGCAATTTATTTTCGTTGATAAATGACTGTCGTATTCATCGATATATTACCATATATATATATATAATATATCGATGGTCGTATTAAATAAGAATTCAATGGCAGATAACAATTTGGTTTTGCCCTTGGCGTTAGTGTTGTCCATGGGCAACAGTTATTTCTCACCATCGGAATGTCTTAATTCTCATCTGTCTTTGAGGATTATAAGAAAACTAGCCGAACTCGCCCGCTTCGCTGGGCATTTAAAATTAACATTATTATTTACTAGCGACCCGCCCTCGCTTCGCTTCGGAAACTGTAATTTAGTATTGATTTCTCCACTATTTAATAGGTGTTATTACATATATAAACCTTCCTCTTCAATCACTCTATCTATTAAAATAAACCGCATCAAAATCCGTTGCGTAGTTTTAAAGATTTAAGCATACATAGGGACAGACAAATAGATATAAGGACAGAGAAAGCGACTTTGTTTTATACTATGTAGTGATTGTCATTATTATTAGGAAGTCCAACGCTCATATAAATATTAGCCTATCCATTAAATACATGTATTTTCTACATGGATGCCAAGTTTCAAGTCAATCAGATGCATGGTTCTGTAGTTATAACGGAACATCCGTAAAAATCACTGTAGATGTATATATTAGTATAGATGTATTATAAGGCATTTTTGTAGCGCTGCATTAGCTAATAACTATATATATTCCATCAAGAGATAAAAAAATAAGACATTTTTCGCTTCAACAAGATATATTCTCGGTCATTTGACAAACATGTACACACTTCTGAAACGCCTATAGAAATTACTGTCTTGATGTTTCAAGGGAAAAAACGACAAAAATATTCTACGATGTACATATTTCAGCATAAAACTAGTTTCATAAATCTTCAAAACCAGTCTCTCTCGGCCGCCAAACCGGATCTACCAGTAGTATAGTTTTTCTAAATGTAACTCTCATGTGTCTTAACGTGTACTTTCGACAAAACTTCAAGTTTGCCGCTATTTTGAATCATTAAACAGTTTTTACGATGTTTTGTTTACCACTAAAGATAACATAAGGAATAACATAATTTATGAGTCATAAATTGTTGTAACTTGCTTTCTTGTAAGACATTTATTAAATTTTTATTTAACAAGATGAACAAGTCATCTGTTTGCTAACAGCAGTCAATCTAGATGGTGTCCAGACGATGGGAAAAGGGCAAAAGCCTTCGTTCAAACGGGAAAAGTTCACTCACCTCTTACAGTAAGAATTCAGTGACCAATAAAACTTTCTATTCACTACACAATTGTTACACTTGTAAACAGGTCGGATACACCGACACTTGTATCGTGTTATTTAAACAGGCCGTACGTTAGGCAAAACACATGTAATTTGTTGTTAAATATTATTGAAACTGTGTTGGAAAACACTGTGAAACGTAATGTACAACCACAGCAACTCGCGATCCGGTGTTCCTTCTCTGTCGCACTGTACGATCGCTGGGTTGCCACTTATGAGATTTAGATTTCCTTATTGGATTTTTTTACACCTTATTGGTTTTTGATGTGATATTCTAAGCTGGTATTTTTGTTACCTTTTCCTTGATTTCTTTACTGGTATGAAGTTTAACGGGTCGCAAAGTGATATTGATTCTGTTTGGGGTCTTGTATAACTTTTGTAATATATATATTTTTTAGATTTGTGACTAATAGTGTTCTATTAACTGTGTGAACTTAATATATCAAAAAATGTGTCCCGGTGTCATCCTTGATATAAGTCTGAAAATTAATTAAACTTCAATCAAATATAAACAAATACATCTTGTCACTTAAATGCCAGAAGTCGATGTTATCAAAACTAAGCTACCACTCTACTATTATATAGAACAGTAAACTCTTAAGACCAGTAGGACACTAATCAAGGTTTCCAGACAATTGGCGTACCAATCAAAGCAGCTTCCACAGTGTGGTCTGAGCTACGTTTGAGGCCAATCTCCATTAAGAGTCGGATCTGCATAATTACATAGCTTTGTCTCTTGGAGTGTGGAATTGGATACATGCATGAACACATGGTTGCACGAAATATTACATGCCTCATTCGTTAAAACATTGAATAAAGAGTTAATGAGGAATTGAAATCAGACCTAAATATTGAAAGCAATGTTTTCCTTTAAATGGTGCATTATCTATCTCTATCTATAACTTATCACTAAGCAAGAAATTCATATTTTCCACGTTAAAAACACGCATATTTAAAGGATTAAAATTTAAATTAAAAGAGCTATTCCTGTCAATATCACAGAGACTGGGCATGGTGAGAACTGGGCATGGGCATGGTATGCTTTTGTAAGTTTGAACTTTTTGGATAAAGTTAGTCACAGGAGGCAGTTTTTGTTTTGTTATTTTACCTTACTGATATGCTTGTGGCCTTCCAGTTTATCAATACCTGTAGAAAGCACAACGTGGTAGATAAGGTGGGCCTTGAGACACAAGGTCAGTTCCATTCCACTTCCATTATAATAGTAGTTATTCTACTCTTCAAGCTATTTCACAATACATCGTACGAGCACTATCGCCACTGGACTTGTATACGGCTAGTAATTTAAATCGAAAAAAAAAGCATTAAAATTATGCCTTCTTATTTATAATTCTTTGTGAAAATTAAATGAAAATAAAAATATTATGGTTTCCCTATAATTTTTATGCAATTTAACTTGAATGAAAATACCATGTTTGTTTGTAGGTGTAACACGAATTTATAGGTTCCAAATGACTATATTTATAATTTACCCTCCTATGTGGATATCCCGTATCCTGTATGTCCCAAAATACAGTGGATGATTTAGTGCGCTGCTATGTTTATTTAATAAAGAAAGAACACCATTCATGAATTCGTCTACTTTTTCAAGCGATGCAAATAGAAGCAGACCAACTCTCGGTAAACAAACGTGGAAAAAGAGATCTAACAACAAAATGGTTTAATAAATAAAAATTATAATTTACTCGGCAGTAGAAAATTCCGAAACTTAATTCTAAGTTAAAAGATCAGAATGATTTATCAATTTTCTTGACAATCTTTTACTGTTGGCAATACTAAAATCAGCCACAAAGCCTGCCATGTCCGAGTAACGTCATTGTGAGTTCGTATGTGGTTCGTATGCGCCTATAAAGCCATAAACGCAAAACTCCACTGCAAATGGACCTTCATTTTTGTCTGCATAAACTTTTAAACAAATTAAGTGTAAATAAAATCTACTTTCACAGGGTTCAACATTTTGTCAATGTATGCATTAAAAAGCTATTAGTTTCTAATCAAATTATGTTCAAAGGATTTTAAACTTTAGACAGCAAGGTTCAAAGGCTGTATAACCTTGTTTAATCATTTTATTGTTACGAAGATATAATATCACAGAGTGTATTGGCCGAAAATCTTATGAGGATAAAAGTGCCTAAAGTCTATCGAAATCCGTTCTAAGATCTCGAGAAGAGGGTTTTTTTAAACGAAACATTACATTTAAATACGTACTAAGACTTAGTGTTCAGATACTGTTTCAGTGATTGTTTTTTTTCTCCAGAATAAGCAAATTAATTCGGTGGCAATGAAAACGGTAACATTTGAATAAATTCAAACGTGGATAGCGAAATTCCCTTTCGTTTCTAGATTCTCAAATGGCATACAAAACTAACATTCCGTCTGTAGTTAATATTTCCCGCCTCATTTTAAACGCGGATACTTGAAATTTTAATAGTACATAGATATTTGTAAATTTAATGCTTATATTGTAACGGGACACGAAAGGAACTACTGTTGTATAGATTGAAAATCTTTGTTTAAAAGTTGACATTGGCATCTCAAAGTTCAATGCGTATATTCGAATTAAAAAAAAATCAAAGAATGATGATGGCGGGCGGTGCGATAGTCATAACGAGATGATGGAATCGTCTCCAACCATCTTAGGCCTCTGAAGTAAGATTAAAGAATGAGAAGGACTTGTAAAGAAAAAAAAAAACTCACGTAATTTAGTCTCGCTCCGCCTCTTTACGCGTAGCTTGATGACACAAGAAGAGATACACTGCGAAAAGAGAACATCATTAATTAGCCAGTACTAATTATGTAAAACCTGTTTTTTGTAAAACCTGTTTTTTTTGCAATTGACATTTATTATAGTTTATCTATTCGTAGTTAAGTAAATGCTGTTTTTAACGGACTTAAAAAAAGACGGAGGTTCTGAATTAGACTGTATTTTTTGCTGGCGGTTTAAGCTTGTGCTTCTCATTTTGTCCTATTTAAATTTTATCAAAATCTGATTCGTTTCCATTCGTTTTTGAGTTGTTCTTAATAATGCCCTTAATAATATTTAATTTACTTAGTTAGATTATTACATAACATGTTATTCTTACAATGTTGAAGACCTTTTTGGTTTTTGTTAAAAAAATTATATGATTTACTGTTTTAATTACCAACAATCAATATCAATTTCGCAATAAAAAAATACGAAAACAAATGGGCATAATTTACAATCATTTCCTATTCGATCTAATTAGCCTAAGTGGATAGATTCATTATTTTTATTTTTTATTTTTTTAATGATCGAATGATTACGGTTGGCCCGGAGGCCTTTCCAGTTTCACCAGGATAGATTCATGTTATTAGACAAAAAATATTGCAAGTGTAAACGTTTCAGATCAGACGATTATATTAAGGCATTGGATTATACTGACCTCGTGTATATGCCCTAGGACCTCAGCCCTGGACATATCCTCAAGTTTTGTCTCATTAACGTCCATTATTTCATCGGCGAGCTCCAATTTGTCCCAGTTGCCAGCTGATGGAGAACCTGTATCATACAAAGAGACCTTCGATTACATTGTCGAGAAAGCTGGGGTTATGTGGATGCAAGCGTTTACAGCAGCCTTCGGGCCTACCACGAGTATAATTGCCATGTCGAACGAAGAGTGGTTGACTTGTGTGCTTTTATTTATTTTAGTGCTGAGATGGGTGGATTATCTCATGGCTCACCTGGTGTTAAGTGGTTACCGGAGCCCTAAGACATGTACAACGTAAATGCGCCATTCATCTTGATAGGTATATAAGTTCTAAGGTCTCAGTATAGTTACAACTGCTGCCCCACCCTTTGAATCGAAACCATTACTGCTTCACGGCAGCAATAGGCAGGGTGGTGGTACCTACCCGTGCGGACTCGCAAGAGATCCTACCACCAGTAAATACGCTGCACATAATTGCTCGACTGATGTGATTGACAAAAACAACCGATCCATATGTGTTTGTCTTTAATTCAATGTACATCTTCACACACACAATCTTGTCGTGACTATCTTAGAACAACTGAAGATCAAGACAAGACTGTCCACACTCTGCCTTCGCCGCGCACTCGAGTACTTCGCTCATATTGCTCGGACAACACCCGATAGCTTAGAGAGACTATTCGTGACAGGGAAGATCGAGGGAAAGTGACCGCGCGGATGCAGCCCGAAAAGGTGGTTCGATAAAATCCGCACCACACTACAAATCCCATTCCTTTTTTTTTCCTACCTAAGGCGCAAACCTGACGACGTTGCTAACACGAACCCTAGCAAGAGCCGTGCTTCGCAGAATCTACCACCAGATCGGAAACGCGACCCACTGAGAAGATACGGCGAGAAACTCAGTGGGCTGTGTCTGTGGGTTAATTTACTCGTCGAGCCCTTCGTCGCAAGCGGCGGGTTCGACGAGAACGATGACCGGTGCTTGTGGTACCTAAAAGCACCGTTAGTGGATCGGGAGGATCCGAAATGACGTGTCCCCTTCCACGAAACCCTTCACACGGCCAATAATCGAAAACGCTGTAACGATATATGTAACAGAAAATAAACATGATGGTCACCTTCAACAGTGAAGAAACTAAGCAAAGAGAAGATACGAACCATCACATGTTCGTGTAAAATAGAATTGTGTGTATTACAGACAGAGTGTAATACACAGTGACAGAGAAGCTGAGAAGTGCGCGTTTGGGACGGTATGGACATGTGATGAGACGAAATGATATTGAGGTTGGTAAGAAAATGTTAACTATGAATGTGGAAGGATATAGAGGAAGAGGTAGACCTAAGAAGAAATGGATGGATTGCGTGAAAGACGATATGGGTAAGAGGGAAGTGAGCGAAGAAATGGTATATGATAGAAGAGTATGGAAGGAGAAAACATTTTGCGCCGACCCCAGGTAACTGGGAGAAGGGCAGGATAATGATGACAGAATAAAGATATGTGTTTCTAACTAGTCCTTAAAAACACCGATTTCATTTTTTTGTATCGGTCGTTTTTTTTGTGGGTACATTCTGATCGTTCGAAAAGTACTCGAGCGACTTTAGCCCACAGTTTCTCACCGGATCTTCTTAGGGGGTCGCGTTTCCGATCCAGTGGTAGATTCAGCGAAGCCCGGCTCTTGTTAGGGCCAGTGTTAGCGACGTCATCAGGTTAGAGCCCCATGAGCTCAGCTACTAGCCCGGTAACGCTGATATGGTATCTCTAGACCATCAACTTAGGTAGGAAAAAAAAGATCGACTTTTAATGAATATTTTGCATTGATTAACCTCAAAAATAAGATGTGTGCCACAACAATGACGGGGGGTCGAGCGGACACGCGTAAATTTTAATGAAATAAATTTTGTTATCCGTTTATTGTTCGTGGCCTTAAAGGTATGCGCAAACAACATTGTTATGTACATAATTAACATGTTTTATCCTTGACAATAACAGCGCGTGTATGAATTCGCAAGACATGTCAGTTAATATTGTTAGACAGTATTGATGGGATTCTTCGGTCAACGATAAGTAATATGATTTGTATTAGAGTAGTCAGATAAGAAACAGCGGAATTAATTGCGATTACCCTAACAACAATGAGCTTTATTTTGACGCTAGATGATCTTGTTTGACGGTAAACTGATCTTTTTAATAGCTATGTATAAGATACAGATTTAAAATATAGGAAAATAACAAGAGAAGTCAATCATAATGAAGCTTGATCATCGGTCAACGTCCGGTAAGTAGGCAGCGGCTCGGCTCTGCCCCTGTCATTGCTGAAGTCCATGGGCGACGGTACGCACTCACCATCAGGTGGGCCGTATGTTCGTCTGCCTAGAAGGGCAATAAAAAAAACATCCTTCAAGGATGATCATGTCACGAAAGATTAAAAAGGTTTTTGCTGCAGAGACACAACCAATTAACTTGTCTCTCTCTCTGTTACTATCATCTTTTGATGGTTAAGGGATTATGGAGGCCCGGAGGCCTTTCCAGTTTCACCAGGACAGATGGTTGAGCAAGGGCTCAGACAGGAGGGATAGTATTATCTAAGTTGTGCCTTTACTGAAGTAATAATAGTTGTTCATCTTTTACGCTAATCGTCGACGGATTCGATTAAGAAGAAAAATGTCTTCGCGATCAAGGACGTGATGCTATTCATCGACATTTAAAAATTCTACTAAGATAAGATAACTAAGGCAAAGTAAACTATTCGTGAGTTCGTACATTTTTTTTTTATTGCTTATACGGGTTGATGAGCTCACAGCCCACATAGTGTTAAGTAGTTACTGGATGGAGCCCATAGACATCTACAAAGTAAATGCGCCACCCACCTTGAGAGATAAGTTCTAAGGTCTCAGTATAGTTACGACGGCTGCCTCACACTCAAACCGAAACGCATTACTGCTTCTGGGCAGAAACAGGCAGGGCGGTGGTACCTACCCGTACGGACTCGCAAGAGGTCCTACCACCAGTAAAAGTAGTTAGCAGTAAAGTATAAATCATAAATGTAGTTTTAGTTTTTAATTTGAAGTCATCGCGGCTCATAAGATAAGACGGTACATTCGTATCGACCGATGCAACTATACGGGTGTTCGAATCCCACTGGCAGATACAATTTTTTCTCACAAAATACGTACTTGACAAATGTTCACGAATGATTTTCACGGTTTTCTTAATTACTGGTAGTAGAGCTACTTGTGAGCCCGCACGAGTAGGTAGCACCACCCTATTTCTGCCGTGAAACAGTAATGCGTTTCGGCTTGAAGGGTGGGGCAGCCGTTTTACTGATTGTAAATTGATACTTAGAACTCATGTCTCAAGGTGAGTGCGGCAAGGTGGTTACATTGTTGATGTCTATGGGCTCCGGTGACCACTTAACACCAGGTCGGCCGTGAAATCGTGCACGCTTAGCAAAAAATAAAAGAAAATGTCTTTGTGAATGAATAATTCTCCTCCGTGCCTTCTCCCGTGAAAATGGGATCTGTGCAATGTTAAACAATGTTCCACATTTCTGTAGGGCTTGAGTTCACTTGGAATGTTACAATTAACAGTGTACCTAACGCTAAAATGCCTTTTATTAATATAAGTTTCATTAGTTCTCTAAAATATTTATGAGATGTAAAACTGTTTTTAGGTTATATGGGTAAAGGTATGGCGTGTCTTTGACCAGCTGTGGGTGTAGAAAACAGTAACAAAAACATATTCATTTAGTTGACTTCATTGAGGTTTCATTGTCGAAATATATTTTTTTTTAAATATATATTTAAAAAATGCGTATCAACTTTTAATCAGGGTATATTTCGTTGTTAAAATACAAAATAAATGTTGACGCCTCATGTAATTGAATAGCAAAAGTAATGATGTAGCTTTTAAAATATTTTCACATTAAGCCGTTCATAATATATCTTATTAATGTCTAAACTTACCATATAATTTCACTTTATTGTCTTTAGTTTGTACAACGATTATAACGTATCCTTCTAGGTCGACAGATTTACATTTTACTGTGGTCATTTTGTCCATTGTGCCGCTTATTTGTGTCGTCGGAGCGTTGAACGTGTTCATTTTTGATTTACATAAAAATCGCACTAAAAAAACTTGACTATGACTTGAAATGAATATTTGTTATGAATTCGCTTATCTTCGGCCAACGTTTACGCCAATGCCATTTCAAACTAAATTTACGTTTGAAAATAAAAAAGGCTTTGTTAATTTTCCACATTTTTTCAAAATCAACCAGGGGCTAATTCGGCCATTATAAAATTTTATGTTCTCGCTTGTTTTTTTTATAAACAGAATTAAAAACTAAATAACCAATTCAATAATAATCCTCTATTGAGTTCTATTCTTCTAGTTTGAAGTAAGACAGTAGATTTTGTCTAAGATTTTCACGTTGATATCTCATGTTGCATGTTGTTCACTTCACAGATCGCGCACTGTTTTTCAACTCACAACAATTCAATAGACCAATTTTAACGATATAATTTGGTTACTATACGAAAATAATAATGTTAAACGTATTTTTGGACTATTTGTCCGATTTTCCGGCGTGTAAACGTATTTTAGAGGATGAGCGACCCTACATCCGCGGGCTGGGTGTTCGCCGCGAATACGACTATCCCATTTTCACGCGATCAATAATGCTCCCCTACCCAGCATCCCTTCAGAGCTCAGACTCCCACAGAGAAACTGCGCTCCAGCTTAAAAAAACAACTATATAGGTAGTCTAACGTAGCGTTTCAGAATTTAGTTTTCACTTCGGGACTTTTAATTTCAGTACAAAAATTAAAAATAAAATTGTACTTTTTTAAATTGGCAACAAATAAAGGTCCCACCGAGATTTGAACTCGGATCGCTGGATTCAAAGTCCAGAGTGCTAACCATTACACCATGGGACCGGTGAAAATGTGTATCAAATATAGGTATATATTAAAAAAACATATAATCGACTTTTGAATTGTTGTTAAAAATATTTAAAAAAATATTTCGATGCATACAAATCAGTTAAGTACCTGTCAAAATGTGTTTCATTTGATTATGCTGTTTTAAATGTAGATGGCGCTTAACACCACCCAAAGCGAATGCACTAATATTGCAGTAGCGACATCTAGCGAGCATAATTTTTTAAATTAGGAGTGGATAATAGAGGGCTCTTAAAGGATACCTAGCTTTTGTTTTTTTTTCTACCTAAGCTAATTAATGGTCTTGAGAGACCATATTCAGCGTCACCGGGGGAGTAGGTGATCTCTCGGGTATCAAACCTGACTGATGTTACTAACACGAACTCTAGCAAGAGTCGTGCTTCGCAGAATCTACCACCGGATCGGAAAGGCGACCAACTGAGAAGGTCCGGCGAGAAACTCAGTGGGCTGTGTCTCTGGGTTAATTCACTCGCCGAGTCCTTCATCGCAAGCGACGGGTTTGACGAGAACAATGACCGGATAACTTTTGGAAAACCGCATTAAGCTATGTTTTACCCAACAATGTCGGTACATTAATGCTTATTAAATATATATTTATATATATGTAGACGTAGCTACTTGCCACTAAACTGACTAGCTACTAAAACCAGACTGGTGCGGACTCTTGTTTTCTCTATCTTCTTGTATGGAGCTGAGACATGGACGTTGAAAGCAGCAGACCGAATGCGCATCGATGCTTTCGAAATGTGGTGTTGGAGACGCATGCTAAGAATTCCGTGGACAGCCTTCCGGACTAACGTGTCGATATTGAAGCAACTGGGCATCAAAATCAGACTGTCTACTGTATGTCTGAAGCGGATCCTCGAATATTTTGGTCACATTGCGAGGAAAGACGGCGATAACCTGGAAAAACTTATGATCACAGGAAAAGTTGAAGGCAACAGATCTAGAGGCCGCAGCCATACTCGTTGGTCCGATCAGATCCGCACCGCTTTGGACAGTACAGTGTACAGCGCGCTGCATGACGCCGTGGACAGGGGAAAGTGGAAAAAGATCCTAAGATTGAAGCTCATGGGTGATGGTGGTCACGACCCTCAGACATGAGGAACACGACTCGAGGAGGAGGAGCTACTTGGGTTCTTCGGGTTCTTCCAAAAAGTTCATTGAAATAGTGTCGATAAATTACCACCATTTTAATGAGGCTTTATTTCATCCTATCTCATCTTGTTTCATTTAATTTCTTCTCAGTTACATAAAACATAATATGTAATCAATTTCATCGCATTTTGCCTCGTATCATCTTCCATGTGTATATTGTATTTAATAATTGAAGATTTTTATAAACTCGAAACTGGCAGCAATGGCGTCTCAAGAAGCCAATCTTCATACTTACTAAAAAAGAAGAAGTATCTAGCAGATGACACCAAAATAATTTTTTCTCACAAAATACGTACTTGACAAATGTTCACGAATGATTTTCACGGTTTTCTTAATTACTGGTAGTAGAGCTACTTGTGCATTGCAAAAAAAAAGTACAATGCTAATACAATTTTAAACTCGATTTTTTCAAGAATTTGGAATAATTTCACATTGTCTCTTCATCAAAAGTGGCAACACCATATGTCAGTTTATCACTGACTTCGCTACGGTATGGTTGTCATTTCGTCCATCTATTTAATAACGTGATAGATGAATGGAAAATAATTAACTTTATCGGAGCGAAGATATTCGCTTTTTAATCTCGAACGTCACGCCGCGTGTGCTTTATCAAACGAGTGTTATAAAAAGATTCACATTACACTACAAACCGCCATGATCGATGGAAGAAACAAAGATGGCGGAATAATACGGTGATCCTAACCAAATTGTTTTGCGGTGTGTAGCGTTATGTGCTGTGGTGAGTGGAGGCTGCAGCTGTGTCGAGGCGCTTGAGAGAGGAAGAGAGGAGCGATGGGGGCGCGGCCGGGGTGATGCCGCCGGCCGGCCGCGGGGCCATGGCGGCCGAAGAAGAACGCCCGCCGCTCGCTCTCTTCACTGCTGTATTCGACTACGTTGCCCAAGGCGAAGACGAGCTCTCCCTTCGGCGCGGAGAGATAGTTGAAGTTCTTTCCAAAGACGCAAACATTTCGGGGGACGAAGGATGGTGGACGGGGAAAATCGGGGACCGCGTTGGTATATTCCCGGCCGAGTACGTCACGGAAGAGGACCCTTTAGCTGTGGAACCACCCCGGGTGTCCTTTTCCGAGCTCAAACTCGAAGAAGTGATCGGCGTCGGTGGCTTCGGGAAAGTATACCGCGGCTATTGGAACGACGAAGTAGTCGCGGTGAAGGCGGCTCGACAAGACGCGAACGAAGATATCGAGGTGATCAAGGAGAGCGTACTACAGGAGGCACGATTATTTTGGGTGTTACAACACGAAAATATAGTGTCTTTGAAGGGTGTGTGTTTAGAAGAGCCGAATCTGTGTTTGGTAATGGAGTATGCCCGTGGAGGGCCTCTCAACAGAGTGTTGTCAGGACGTAAAATTCGACCAGACATCCTGGTGGATTGGGCGATACAGGTAGCCAAGGGAATGGCATACCTTCATGTTGGGGCACCTCTATCGCTCATACATCGCGACCTCAAGAGCTCTAATGGTAAGCGTTAATAACATAAGTGTTTTAAAAATTAAGNGTGTTTGGTAATGGAGTATGCCCGTGGAGGGCCTCTCAACAGAGTGTTGTCAGGACGTAAAATTCGACCAGACATCCTGGTGGATTGGGCGATACAGGTAGCCAAGGGAATGGCATACCTTCATGTTGGGGCACCTCTATCGCTCATACATCGCGACCTCAAGAGCTCTAATGGTAAGCGTTAATAACATAAGTGTTTTAAAAATTAAGTGTGTATCATATAATCTTGAAATTAATTAGTTACATTGTGATTAGGTATAAATTTCTATGACAAGCATCGGACAGCACATAAATCAAAATGAATTTATAAATTATATCACATAGATAAGACAAACTGAAGTAATTCTTCAGACCTAAATAAAGATTTTCTACTATTTTCTATGAACATTATTGAGTTTTGGAACTTAATAGATACTGTATGAGATGCAGCCCAAAAACAACTTACCAGCTGATCACCACACAAAGAAAGGATAAAAATCTTTTACTTGCTTCCTTATAACTTCTGGATAAAATAGTATCCTAAATTCAGTTTTATATGAAACAGAGGAACAGTGGGACAAATACATATATTATTGCTGGTATATTTTGTTCATGAACAGGTAGGTACCATAATTGTACTTGATCTTTTAATTTTGTGTTTTGATATATACCTGTATTATATCATAATGTAGAGATTTTGGACTCATATGTGGTCAGGCCCTTGGTTCAGTAACTCTTAATGTTAGGTGGGTCATGAGCTTGACAAAGCCTTGCTGTACCATCTTTAGCTGTTGCACAAATTATACTTTGGCCTTAACCATCGTAATCCTTTTGTACCAATACAATCCAGACAAGAGGTAGTTTAAGGTGTCATTGACAATGTCTGATATATTTCTAAGGATAGCCTATCAAAATAGAATTTGCGTTATTTTAAAATAGTATATTTTGTTGTAGTTTACAATGTGCAATATGCTTATGCTCTGGATTAATGATGGGTGTACCAGTTTTTTTTTATTGCTTAGATGAATGGACGAGCTCACAGCCCACCTGGTGTTAAGTGGTTACTGGAGCCCATAGACATCTACAACGTAAATGCGCCACCCACCTCGAGATATAAGTTCTAAGATCTCAGTATAGTTACATCGGCTGCCCCACCCTTCGAACCGAAACGCATTACTGCTTCACGGCGGAAATAGGCGGGGTGGTGGTACCTACCCGTGCGGACTCACAAGAGGTCCTACCACCAGTAAAATGAATGAATTATGAATTATTGAAGAGTGATGTTTACAACTTTATCTACTACAGGGTTTTCTATGTGTCGTACATTTCTTAAGTTTTGTAAAGTAAATGGTTTAATAATCTCACATACTCCTCCTCCTCCTTGCATCGTGTTCCTCAGTGCTGAGGTCGTTGATAGCGACTTGATTTTGGAGTCTAATGTTGACTTCATTTGATTGGACCTGTGTGTGGTACTACACCCCTTTGGCCTCCTTCCTTCCACTTGNCAAATACATATATTATTGCTGGTATATTTTGTTCATGAACAGGTAGGTACCATAATTGTACTTGATCTTTTAATTTTGTGTTTTGATATATACCTGTATTATATCATAATGTAGAGATTTTGGACTCATATGTGGTCAGGCCCTTGGTTCAGTAACTCTTAATGTTAGGTGGGTCATGAGCTTGACAAAGCCTTGCTGTACCATCTTTAGCTGTTGCACAAATTATACTTTGGCCTTAACCATCGTAATCCTTTTGTACCAATACAATCCAGACAAGAGGTAGTTTAAGGTGTCATTGACAATGTCTGATATATTTCTAAGGATAGCCTATCAAAATAGAATTTGCGTTATTTTAAAATAGTATATTTTGTTGTAGTTTACAATGTGCAATATGCTTATGCTCTGGATTAATGATGGGTGTACCAGTTTTTTTTTATTGCTTAGATGAATGGACGAGCTCACAGCCCACCTGGTGTTAAGTGGTTACTGGAGCCCATAGACATCTACAACGTAAATGCGCCACCCACCTCGAGATATAAGTTCTAAGATCTCAGTATAGTTACATCGGCTGCCCCACCCTTCGAACCGAAACGCATTACTGCTTCACGGCGGAAATAGGCGGGGTGGTGGTACCTACCCGTGCGGACTCACAAGAGGTCCTACCACCAGTAAAATGAATGAATTATGAATTATTGAAGAGTGATGTTTACAACTTTATCTACTACAGGGTTTTCTATGTGTCGTACATTTCTTAAGTTTTGTAAAGTAAATGGTTTAATAATCTCACATACTCCTCCTCCTCCTTGCATCGTGTTCCTCAGTGCTGAGGTCGTTGATAGCGACTTGATTTTGGAGTCTAATGTTGACTTCATTTGATTGGACCTGTGTGTGGTACTACACCCCTTTGGCCTCCTTCCTTCCACTTGGTAATGGTATTCCTTCCCAGTGGAAGGAATACCAGTGTAATGTGTAGTTTTTCGAGATTGTCAGCCTTCTCCCTCACAATGTGAAGTTGTGTCTCAGATTGTGGTTCACATAATTATACACAATATAAATTCTGCATTGTCATTATTTTATTGTGCAAACCAATCAACAGGCACATAGACATCTTAGTTTAATGACACCACTCATCCTGGGAGAAGACTTAGTCTATTGTGTCATATTATGACTCCATCCATATAACCTTAAACGATCATAAATGTGTAAATTCTTCAAGTAATCCAGCATCTTGAAGTCGTTGAAAATTATGTTGAAAGTTTCTCTCATTTAGATAGATAAGTAGATAGATACAAATAAAGTTAATAAAAATATTTGAACCATTTCTAAAATTAATGATAAGAAAGTACAGTAGAAAATAGACCTTGCTCTGTTTTGGCTATTTATAAATGAATTGTTAATGATCGGACAGATAATGGAAACAACTAATCTGATGTTACATTGTTCCCAAATACCATTGATTTGACAAAGTGAGTGCTACTGACAACCAGAATCTGACTGAAGCTTTAATAATGTAATACAGTTTCCTTAGAACTAGATGGAATGGTTGTACTTAACTATCCAAGTATATAATATGACTTACCAACATTAGAATTAGAATCCTCTAAATCTTAATTATACATAAAAATTGATCATTCAGCAACACAAACATCCCACACAACTTTTTCTTGTCTTCACCCACATTTGTTGAGCATTTTAAAATTGAGACTGACTGCAATTTAAAAACTCCTAATTATACCAACAGTCTGTCTACATTTATCTCATTACATGTCATTAATGTGTATACATATAATTTTAATTTTAGTTTATAATTTAAGTGTTATTTGATGAAGTTTATGTCTCACATAATTAGTATAATTTTTAGGCTATGATCTCCAGCATGGAGCTGTAGTTTTGTTATTTTTAAAACACATATTATTGTACATTTAAATTTATGACTCAAACACACTATTTCTAACGCAATTATACACAAAATTATAAACTAAAATCCACAAATTTAGAATTTGGAGACAAATGTTTATTTTGAAGCAAAAAATGTACTCCTAATTATTTGTTTATTGTATGAATTGTTTTCTACAGTATGACAAAAAACTTACATTGCTTGTAAGTATTTTTGGAGTTGAAAATGAATATGAAATGTAATTATCGGAAACTCATGTGTTCATTATTGGTTATATTATCTTTGTTTTTGAATAATGTACATAGCAAAAACAAAACAAAGTCATTGCGTAACCAATAGCATATTCAATACATGCAATTTACTATTGTGCGTAATATGTATTTTAAACAAAGCAAATGAACATTTATTAAATTTCTTCTACACTCATTACTATTATTGTGAAGTAGGTCAGACTATTGCAGTGTTAAGGGTCTGCGACCCCTTTATACTGTGTAAAATAATATAATTTACAATTATGATTATTTAACATTATGAATTAATGGTCTATAGATAGGTAGGTAACTTTTGTGTATATAATCAAATTTATTTTGCAGTTTTAATTTATACATACGTTTACTATTGTGGTATAGTAAGAGTGTGATGTTTTGTGATAGTGCATTTTTTTTAACGGATTTTATGACCTGGTAACTGAGACCTTTAAGTCATGTTTTATTTTAATTTATATTCATATTTTTATGAAAAATGATATTATGGAGTGAAATGAAATGAAGATGATTAATTTGAGACATTAATGAACTGGGATGAAATTAAATGAGATGATACGGGATGAAACATAATCTCAGTACAATGGTGGTCATTTACTAAGATTTTTTCAGTGGATTTTTTGGAGGATCCCGAGAAGTTATGTCCAGCAGCTTTATTTCATTTTCCCGCATTTGTGCATTTTCACAGATATTAAACAGTTAATAAACCACCATTATTACACACTTAAACCTGAAGAAACACTAAATAGACAAAATAAAACAAATCACACAACTTCACTCCTCGCGTTCCCGCCAAAAGTCCTGTGATAGTGCAGAAAGATAAATGAGCACAGGATAAATGCTGTTAAGATTAGAAAGAAAAAAGATTAGATAAATGCTTTTCTTATGGTGGGGCCAGTGAGACAGAACTGTAAATAATTTTGCATTGAAATAACTAATAACCCAAAACTCTTCATGGCAGAAACAGGCATAAGTCACACTGAAGTGTCGGTTCCCTGTGAGCTTTGCTAAAATGTATATTATGAAAATAATAAAAAATGAACTTATTTCACTAGCTAGTTAAATTACCTTAAATTATCTAAACTAATTTGTGAATGTTATTAATACAAAATTTTATTTTAAATTGTAAAATTAAATTTTACATTGTCAAAGGAAGTAAACAATCTTACGTTCCATATAATTTAAAAATGGTCGCTAATGCGCTTCGGCAATGTTAACAAATAAAAAAATACGACATACTACTTTCACATACTATTTAAAAAAATATGCAATGAAATTTTCGTGTTATATGCATCCCACAATAAATACGCTATGTCCATTTGTTGAAAATCATACATTCTGAGCATAGTTGCGAAGTGTGAATAAAAATTCAAATAACCAACCCTCTTGGAACTTCCCCTAAAAAGGGCTCCCTTTCTCGCTTGCTAATCCGCTGAAAGATTGCCGACATACACCTACGTAGGCAATAAAAAAAAAAAAAAAAAAAAAAAAAAAAAAAAAAAAAAAAAAAAAAAAAAAAAAAAAAAAAAA